CTCTGTTATAAAATACGACTTATTTAGACATTTACCTGTTTTTTAAGTTTCTAATATTGTGGGAACTGTTTAAAAAACAAAAGCCAGAATCTTTGGGCTGCGATCTTAAAGTAAAAGGCCTAAAAATACAATGAAAAAATGTATATTTAGAACAGCTGTTTATCAAAACAAAAGGCGCCAAAAGAGTTGGCATAAAAAAAAGAATACAGTCTTACTTCTATAACGCCATTGTATAATGTGGATAATCTCACCATTTTCTTGAACTTAAATTGAAATTGCATTTGTTTTGAAAAATAAAATAGTTATAAAGATCACTGAAATACCAATCAAAACTGCCTTTAAAAACAACCAACACGTTGGCTACGACAAACAAATCGGTCATTTGAATTCCCCAAAGTTTAGTTACGTTCGGCTTTGCTTGGGAAAGCTGTTTCCATTCATTTGATCAAGACCAAAAAGGAAAGGGGAATCCCCGACTTAAAAGCAGACACAACATGTCAGGCAGCAATGACGACGGGATGGGTCAGGACAGGGATCCCAGGGACTTTGTGCGGGGCTATCGCAGCGAGCAGGACGAAAAGATGAAACCGAAGTCCTCGTTCGACAAGCGGTTAGGGCTAGGGCATCGCCCACTAGTCCAAAACGGAGTTTTAAACCGATCCTTTACTTACTCTACCCCACAGTGAAGATCTGGCAACGGCGATCCTGAAGCGCAAGGACCGCCCCAACCGTCTGATTGTCGAGGAGGCCCAGAATGATGACAACTCGGTGGTGTCGCTGTCGCAGGTGAGATACACACTCCCAAAGGCCACGTCATCACACTAATACTAATCGCTCGGCTCGGCTTTCTTACCTTCATTTGCCCGCTCTCTGTTCTGCAGGCGAAGATGGATGAGCTGCAGCTCTTCCGCGGCGACACCGTGATCCTCAAGGGCAAGCGCCGCAAGGAGACGGTCTGCATCGTGCTCTCGGACGACACCTGCCCCGACGAGAAGATCCGCATGAACCGCGTGGTGCGCAACAACCTGTGCGTCCATCTGTCCGACGTGGTGTCGGTGCAGTCCTGCCCGGACGTCAAGTACGGCAAGAGGGTGCGCATCCTGCCCATTGACGACACCACCGAGGGTGTCACTGGCAACCTGTTCGAAATCTATCTGAAGCCGTACTTCCTGGAGGCCTACCGACCCATCCACATGGGCGACAACTTCATCGTGCGCGCCGCCATGCGTCCCATTGAGTTCAAGGTGGTGCTGACCGACCCGGAGCCGTACTGCATCGTGGCCCCCGAGACGGTGATCTTCTGCGACGGCGATCCGATCAAGCGCGAGGAGGAGGAGGAGTCGCTGAATGCCGTGGGCTACGACGACATCGGTGGTTGCCGCAAACAGCTGGCCCAAATCAAGGAGATGGTGGAGCTGCCGCTGCGCCATCCGTCGCTGTTCAAGGCCATCGGTGTGAAGCCACCGCGCGGCATCCTTATGTACGGACCACCCGGCACGGGCAAGACCCTGATTGCCAGGGCCGTGGCCAACGAGACCGGAGCCTTCTTCTTCCTGATCAACGGACCGGAGATTATGTCCAAGCTGGCCGGAGAGTCGGAGTCCAATCTGCGCAAGGCCTTCGAGGAGGCCGAGAAGAACTCGCCGGCCATCATCTTCATCGATGAGATCGACGCCATTGCCCCGAAGCGTGACAAGACCCACGGCGAGGTGGAGCGGCGCATTGTCTCGCAGCTGCTGACCCTTATGGATGGCATGAAGAAGAGCTCGCATCTGATCGTGATGGCGGCCACCAACAGGCCCAACTCCATTGACCCGGCCCTGCGTCGCTTCGGCCGTTTCGATCGTGAGATCGACATCGGCATTCCCGATGCCACCGGCCGCCTGGAGGTGCTGCGCATCCACACCAAGAACATGAAGCTGCACGATGACGTGGATCTGGAGCAGATTGCCGCCGAGACCCACGGACACGTGGGCGCCGATCTGGCCTCGCTGTGCTCGGAGGCTGCCCTGCAGCAGATCCGTGAGAAGATGGACCTCATCGATTTGGAGGACGACAAGATCGATGCCGAGGTGCTGGCCTCTTTGGCCGTCACCATGGAGAACTTCCGCTACGCCATGACCAAGTCCAGTCCATCGGCGCTGCGCGAGACGGTTGTGGAGGTGCCCAACACCACCTGGACGGACATCGGTGGCCTGGAGAGCGTGAAGAAGGAGCTGCAGGAGCTGGTGCAGTACCCGGTGGAGCATCCGGACAAGTTCCTCAAGTTCGGCATGCAGCCCAGTCGCGGTGTTCTCTTCTACGGACCGCCCGGCTGCGGTAAGACGCTGCTGGCCAAGGCCATTGCCAACGAGTGCCAGGCCAACTTCATCTCGGTCAAGGGGCCCGAGCTGCTGACCATGTGGTTCGGCGAGTCCGAGGCCAATGTGCGCGACATCTTCGACAAGGCCCGCTCGGCGGCTCCGTGTGTGCTCTTCTTCGACGAGCTGGACTCGATCGCCAAGGCCCGTGGCGGCAATGTGGGCGATGCCGGCGGCGCCGCCGATCGTGTGATCAACCAGATCCTGACCGAGATGGACGGCATGGGGGCCAAGAAGAACGTGTTCATCATCGGGGCCACCAATCGTCCGGACATCATCGATCCGGCCATTCTGCGTCCGGGCCGTCTGGACCAGTTGATCTATATTCCGCTGCCCGACGACAAGTCGCGCGAGGCCATCCTGAAGGCCAACTTGCGGAAGTCGCCGCTGGCCAAGGAGGTGGATCTCACCTACATCGCCAAGGTGACGCAGGGCTTCTCGGGCGCCGATCTCACCGAGATCTGCCAGCGGGCCTGCAAGCTGGCCATCCGACAGGCCATCGAGGCTGAAATCCGTCGCGAGAAGGAACGCGCCGAGAACCAGAATTCGGCGATGGACGTAAGTCGCCTCGATTGGCTCCCCAAAAGAGTATCTATTTTTGACTTCTTTCCCTATACCAGATGGACGAGGACGACCCAGTGCCGGAGATCACCAGCGCCCACTTCGAGGAGGCCATGAAGTTTGCTCGTCGCTCGGTGTCCGACAATGACATCAGGAAATACGAGATGTTTGCCCAGACTTTGCAGCAGTCCCGTGGTTTCGGACAGAACTTCAGGTGAGATTGAGCAAGGAGCCTTGTCTTGTGGTACAAATTTCGTATTAATCCTTGTGAACTTCTAGATTCCCCGGTCAAACCGGCAACACCTCAGGAACTGGCAGCAACTTGCCAGTCAACTCGCCAGGCGACAATGGCGACGATGATCTTTACAGTTAGATTTCTAGTTTTACACTGCAAAACAAAACCACAAAAAAAGAAACTTTTTAAATGAATTTTTCCCTGGAAAACCGAGCAAGCAAGCAAACAACCAATCACATTCGCATCCTGGAGGCGGTAACTACAGCAACCACTGGCTAAGGCATTCAGCCGACAACCCGACAACGGGATCAGTTTACATACCCAATACAATAATCACTCTTTTTGATACCATCCTTGGTCTTGGTCACGGATCGTGCTGCAAGACAATTCGAACTGTAATTCTAATTCTAATTTGGACTTGGGCCAGCCTGATCCAAAACCATTTTAATTGGCGACCAAATCCGCCCCACACACTTATCATTCGTGCATTGTCGGCAGAGTGGCTCCGATATATGAGTTTCTATAAACATAATTATAAACGATACACATACACACATACATTTAACGATAAAAACCATATATTAAACACCGTAAAATTATAAGTGTATTTGGAGCTACGTTTTTAAGTGAATAAAAATTATAAATTCAATAAAATCATATCTTCTTTTATCTGGATGAGGACATATTTGATTTTTTAGGTGTTTAATATACATTGACATGAAAAAGTGGAACTAAATAGCTATTTTTGTAAAAATTGGGGATATTGAACATTGTTTTTATTAAACCAAAGACTTTTATATTTTATGTTACTGAAAATACTTAAGAAAATCCGAGATTGAATCTCAAAGTCACCCCCATAAATAAATAAGATATTTTTTGTTTTATCGCATTTATTAAACTTGTATTCATTCGTCATGTTTGCTTTTTCTGGTTTTTATTTTATTTTTTGCTTTTTATTTTCATGAATGCTTTGCGACATAACAAGGACATCTTAATATGAAGTTAGTTGAATTCATTCATATTTTAATAATCATCATCGCTTCCGTCTTATAAATAAACTTTCTATGCCATTATATTAGCTGCTGGTTATTTAAATCAATTGTTTGGCATCAGTAAATGAAGATAAAGAAAACCATAATAATTTATTTGTTAATGGCAAAAGCAGGAAACTTTAAAGTTGATTCGCTTTTTAATGTGTTACAGCAGCTTCTTCGGCGCTTAGTTTAAATCAAGTTTGTGTTTCCTTTTTTTTCAGTGTCTACACCTTCAATTTTTGCAAATATTTTTGTTTCTTTTGTTAATACATACTCTTTTTTTGTTTTCATTTTCTTTTCGTTTGTATTTGTATTTGTTTTTCATTTTTATTTTTGTTACACATACATAATTAAATACGCTTTATGCATAATTACAACACAACAGTTAAAATACGAATAGGCTTTACTATTTTTATTTTATGTATCCTTTTCTCAGTGACTTTAATTTGAAATTTGCGCGTTAAGAGCTTGTCATTCGGTGATTTTAACGTTTTTTTAAATATTTTTTTGAGCTTTGCTTGATGAATATTTTTTCATTATGGCTTGTGTGTGCGTGTGTGTGTGGGTGTATTGGCTCGTGTGTGTGTGTGTGTGTGTGCTGTGTGTTGTTGTAATTGGTATGTGGAAGAAAATGGCCAGCACTTTCAGCATCTTAATTACTTTCTATAATTTTACTCGCTTGATATATAGTTACTATTTATTTGTTTTTCTTGAACTCTTTCCTCACGTTCTTATTGTTTCGAAAATTTCCAAGAATTTGTTGCTTTAAAGTCTTGAACATAGACTAGACACCAATTAAGATTAAAAACATACTTTTATATACTTTAGTTTTATTATTTCTTGCTGACAATTTGAACGACTTGTAGCAATTTTACATTTATGATATTTTCGGTTTCTTTATATGTAGTTTCTTTTAGCTTTGAACACCTCTCGACTGTTGGTATGCCAGTTGAATTTGTTTAATTTAATATTATACCTACATATGCAAGTTCATTGATTATCCCACTAAGATTTGTTTAGTTACGCTGTTTGTTCAAAACAATACGGTTACACTCATATAAAGTAGTTGGAGTCGTTTAGGTTTAGGCTTAGGCTTTACCATAGTTTAAGCTCATTCAGTTATATAAATAGAGATATAGGTGTGGGTTTAGGTCAAGGGTGGTAGTACAGGTATTGAACAGCAACAAAAACAGGGATATACTAAGTACACATTGTCCAGGCCGTCGATATTGCTTTGATTCGTTTTCGATATGGCCCGAAAATAAAAGATATATATTATAATATATATATATTTAAAGCGGTTTAAGCAAATGTCACCCATGTGCACACATCTTTTCCCCATTCCCCATTCTCAGCCCGCACTCTCTGCTAAATTTCGTATTTTTTCGCTAGTTTTTCTCAAAGTTTTCTAAGTTGATCCCATGCAACATATTGATTGTGCCTTTAGCATTACTTATTTGTGATCTTCTCTTTCCGAGAACGGAATAACAATAACATTCTCGTGTGCCTATAGTGAGATCGCTTTAGGAAGTGGAAAACCTACATCTGGGGGACCTGCTAATTTGATAATCTGATAATCTGATATCTTTCCCTACTCTCCGATGGCCGAAACACCTGTCCAGCTGCTTCATGTATAGACTAGTACATACAAACATTAATTGGTTGTTGGTTTTTGGGGTTTCCCTAGGCGAATACCTTTCGATTTTTGGGTAGAGTGTTTCTCGATATACTCAATGGTGGGGAAACTCTTTGCTGATGTCTCTGCGTGTGTTCAATTTGCTCTTATTTGATATACAATATATTTTTGCTTTCATTTCGCTTATCAGTTAATTAGCAGCCCATGAAACAAGTGTTTGCGTTACTTTCTAAATTATGAATAAATCAATTGATAACAAAAAGGTATGAATAAACAAAACTTAAATTAGTATTTTTAACATTCCCGTTGAGCCAATCGTTTGTTGTTTCTAATTGCTGATTGCGTTTGAATTCACTTTCGCCCAATTAAATACATTACAAATTACAATTGCTAAATACATACAATACAATTCTTAACTCGCTTGTTTGCTTTTATGCTTTAGATTAGAAACATTGCTAAGCTTCTCCCCAACATGATCAACATTATCATTATCATCATCATTATTATCGTAGTGTTATAGATTAATTTCAATTATCAAATATTCATGATTAAGTTTAAATGATTTTTGTGTCCTTGTGTGTTTGTTTGGTATTTGTGCTTTCTCGTGGGTTCTTGTGTTATGCTGTTTTCTTGCTGTCTGTAGTATTGCTCAATTTTAAAGAAACATGGTTACAAAATAAAATCCTAAGAAGCCTGCAAGTGACCTTTACTTTTCAGTTATAGTTGTTTATAGCTGTTTGTTGTAGCTGCTGATGGTGGTTTTTGTTGGTTGGTTGTTCAGACTTTTTATCGTGTATCGGTGATATTGTTTTTGCTGCCAAATATCTTCACCAACTGCGACTCGTAGTCGTCAATGTTGCGCTTCATAATATCCATGCAGGGACCCAGCAAACGCTCAAATGCCTTCACATCGAGGACTAAATTAGATAGAGAGTGATATCATTAGTTAATGTTGAGTACAGAGAATCCATGGAACACACTTATTTCATGCTGGGGAATAGGAATTTCTGGGGGAATGGAGGTTTAGTAATACTTAATTAAGAACAGTTTAGCAAACACATAACCAAATCCATGGGTATCCCATTAAAACTCATTCCTTGATCACCACAGGCCCCTCAATATCATCTACATATCCTTTTCTTACCGGTCCATTAACCTTTAGATGCCTGTGTCAGCTGCAGACATTCATATTTCATAGTGCTGTGGGTTTTATTTTGGGGATGGTGCGGGTTTTGCCCCTAACATATACTCATGTATGCGTGTGTGTCACAATAAATCTATATTTTATTATTACTTCTTTTAACTTTTAAATGCAGAATTTGGAAGAGCTTTGTATCAAATTCGAAAAACTGCTTTGCACACTTGAAAATTTAGAACAATTACAACCTACAAAAGTAGAAACATTTTAAACTAGTTCGTTCACAAATTCGTATTGCGGCGGGCCATGTCGGTGAACATTTGCTCATAGATCACTATATTGCGCTTGAGTACATCGGTCAGGAAGCCCATGATGCGTTCAAAGGCCTCGGCGTCTAGGACTGGACGGAGTTTCGGGCTTAAGTCAGTTCAAATTTAATAAATAAAAACCCATTTTCATGACCTCATTATACAAAAGTCACTAAATAATTATACAAAACTCATTTCCTAGGTGATTTCAATATTAACAAAACGAAATTCATAGTCACGTTCATATTGTAGCGCTGGAAAAATGCTTTCATAACCGTTTAGTTGGGTTCTCCTAGCTCTTATTTAATTCTTAATTAAACCAAGCAAAATGAGGTCGTGAAAATGGGTTTTAGTCTTCCCTAGGAACTAAAATTACTTCTACTACGGACTACTACTACTTCTACTAATTGAGTTGCAAATGGCCAAAGTATTCGCGCAGATCCTGCTCCAGATAGCGATACCCACTAATGCTACGCTCGATGCCCCCACTGCACTTTCCCATGAGGCGTTCGAAGCAAACAACATCCAAGACTACACAAACACACACAGCACACACACGACATACACGAGGGAATGGCGGACCGGGGAATGTGGACGGGGGACAAAGAACAAATAAACAAAAGCATTAGGGATTAGGTCAAGCGGGGCATGGATCGACTGAAACGCTTTCCGTGTAGCCACCATTTCTACTAGCCAGAACCCTGGGCACTGGACACTGGACAGTGGACACGGGACACTCACATGCTAGCTTGACAACTCCGCCCGTGGCGTAGACGGAGGCGGCTCGGGGTCGATGTGTCACCAGCGCCAGCTCGCCAAAGTACTGGCCCTTGCCCAGCTGCGAAATCTCCACCTCGGTGTCGTCCTGGTCCATGCGCACGGACACGGTGCCCTCCTCGATGAAGTACATGCCATCGGCGGCATCGCCTGGGGATTGGAGAAAAAAAATGGTTCCTATTAGAGAATTCCCAAATGGATAAAAGAGTGAATGTTTTTTACAGACGGCCAAAAGATGCCCCTACATAATTCAGCAATCGAAGCGGTTTATTTTTGTATAGTTTAAATTGTAGGTTTGTTGTTCTTTACCTGTGGTTCATCGAATTTCAAATTAAATCAAACGTTTAGCCTAAATTATTATTAAATATGTATGAAGAGCGGTTGGTTATCTAACAAATCATTAAATATATGTTTGTTTTAAATTGGAATTTATAATTATCAATTAAAGAACTTTAATCCTGTTGTGTTCTAGTTTCAAGTCTCTTATTAGTAATTAATAAATTTAATTTCGTTTTATAAAGTTTAACCATTTTCGGTTCATTGTGGTTTGTTATTCCCCCCACTTCAATTTAAATTGAAATTCATAGAAAATGTGCAAAGTTAAATGTAAGGAACCCTAATTGGCCTTAAGGAAGCTCCCCTGTACCTTTGTCGAGCACTTACCCTGCTTGATGATGCGCTCGCCATTGTCGTAGCTCTTTGAAACCAAAGCATCCGCCAGATTCATGCGTTCGTAGTTCTGAAGCACAAGAGTTGGATATATAAAATCGATTGGAATAAGAAGTGGGAGTGGGGCGGAGGTGGGAGTGGGGTGGGGTGGAAAATAACCCACCTGCAAGGCCTTCAGCATGGGCACGCTGTTCAACAGCTCCTCGTACATTTTCCTCTTCCTGAAGGCCGACTTCAACAGGATGCGTCGGAAGGTCTGGCGATCCATGGCCCAAAGTAGACCATTCGTTTCCGCCTGCACGGTGGCCGCTCTAGATATATTTAAGTTGAACATTAGAGACACGTCCATATATATACAGCCATTAGCACGTTGTAATTGTGGCTCAGACAGCGCGGAAAATTTGGCATAATGAATCGATCAAATACGAATGGCTCGCATACCTGGGCATGTTGTAGAGCAGCGCTAATTCACCGAAAAGTCCAGTGTGATTGTAGGTGTTAATGTGCTTGTCATTAATATACACTTTGTAGACGCCACTGCGGGAATACGGAAAAATGCGGTGGGTGAAGGGGTGTTAAAAGACCAGAGATATACTCGCACGAAAAATGCACTTTATTTCAATGCAGTTTATAATTGATGAGTGAGTGTGCTCTCATCAATATGTAAATGCCTATTAATTGCCACACCAAACACTAATTCCCATTCAAATACATATTAATTAAGCTGCACATAAATGAATGAGCTTCGCTGTTCCGCATGAGTAATTATGCGGTAATACTTCTTTGCGTTCATTATAAAACGTTTGATAAACTTTAAATATTGTGGGAAATTGTTTGGTTTAGGCTTTGAGGTGTTCTTAAATAAGTACAAACTTAAATTATTGCAAGAAAAATATGACAAATAAAATAAAAGAAACTAAAAATCCTGTTAATTAAACTAGTTTCTCAATACAAAATAATATATTTTATTTAGACATTTATAATTGAAATTTGTTCATTGCGGTATTGGCTAATCTGAATGCAAACTAAATGTTACTGAAATAGCTAAATCAAAATGTAATTTATTTTGTATTCCCCTATGAGCTTATGAAAAATAATATATTATGTATTAAAATGTCAACAAATACTTCCAAGCCTGTAAGCTAATGTGTAGCTAATTTACGAAAGTTAATATTTTCCCTAATTGAATATGTTGTGTTTAGTTAGACACTCTATAGAAAATCACGAAAAGTTACTCAAACTTTTAGTTAACTTTTGGCTAAACAGAATATGCGCATTATTCATAAAGCTTGATTGGAAATTTGTTTTGTTTTACTTACGATTCAATAACATAAAAGTTATCGCCGTCGTCGCCCTGGCGGATGATATAGTCGCCCGGCTGAACCTTCCGCTCGAACATGGCATCCAGGACTTGGTTCATCTGCGAAAACAAATCAGTTACAAGGGGATGTTTTTCCGGGGGAGATGGGTGGGGGGGGGAGGAGGAGCCAGATCCGAAGCCTGCCTGATGGGGCGTAAAAGGGAAACCGCAGGCAGACACTTATTCGGGTTAAAACGTTGATGCGTGTGTGGTACTCCTTCCCTTCTTTAGAACTCCCCCCTTCCCCTCCCCCGAGACTTATGATTTATGTAGTGAGTGTGGTGGCGACGTACCTGCTCCTTTTCGAGGGATCGGAAGAGGAGGACGTTCTTCACCGACTCCACCAGTCGGGCCCGCTGTTCGTCTGTCTTGGGGAACACGGCGGTGGCACCATCGTCGTCGTCATCCGCCTCCGGATCGTAGGCCTCGGCGAAAACTGATTTGCGGCGCGAGCTGGCCACCATTGGGGGTTCCGCTGCAATAATATAAATTGAAACCATTAATCAGTCATGTGTTATGGGTCTATTAGAGGCCAACTAATCATGTGAAGGCAAAACTCTCAACTTCAACGACTTTTCTAGATGATTAAAAAGTACCCTATTACATTAGATATATCTAAACGATGCCATCTGAGTGGAATTTGCTGCTCTGGCACATCTCCCGCTGGGCCACAATTGCATTTCAAATGAAAATGCAGAGGAGCGCTCACATATCAACGAGAGGCAGCATAATCCAATGTCATTTGGTACCATGTACGAGCAACTCTGTGAGAATGTGCAAAAATTCACTCTGTTCCAGAATATAACACCGGAAAACAGTAAGGTTCTTGCCTTAAATAAATGATTGTATAGAATCACTAACACAACACATTCAAACATTTTTATAAAATTTTAATTTAATTGTAAATTTAAAGAAACATAATACACTAAAAGCCTGTTTTTTATTTTTAGTGTAAAAAAAATGTTTTTAGTTAACAAATTCAGTCAAGAAAAACATTGGTAATATTTTACTTTGATAAGTTAGTTAGAATATAGTTTAAAAACGTTGCATTTTTTAAATTGAAAACTCAGCTGATTAAGAACTTAAGTACTTTTTCTCTGTGTGCAACAGTTTTAAAGCCTTCTCGTAGATTGCGCTTCCGACAATTAAAATTGCATAAATATGAGGCGGTTGTCCAGCTGAGATTTCCATCAGAGAATATATGTGTCAGACCAGTGAGACAAACCAGACTCATCGTTTCTTTTGCTGCTCTGCTACAGATATTTAAATGTTTATTCGGGTTCACATGACCGCAAAATCAATTGCTGTAATTATACATTCAAGCCGAACACAACACCTTAAGTGATCAGCATTTGTTTTTTTCTATATGTATTTATATATTTAATTTTGGTCAACGAAATTCGGTTTTTGCTTTGGCCAAGCAAAGCGCAACTCACCAGCCAATAAATTACCAGACACCTGAGTGGACATTTTCAATTGCAGTGCGCTGCTTTTTGTGCGTGTTTCCGAATTTAGTTACGATTTCAAATCGGTTGCAACGAGCGCGAAAATAAAAACCAGTTAGGCATGAACACGTTTAAAAAAAAAAAAAAAAAAAAGTGTGTGTATAGAAATGTTGATGGGTGTGTGTATGTAACCCAAGGTGAGAGTTTTTGTAGCGCCGCAAAACAAAAAAAAAAACAAAACAAATCCAGCGCAAACACCGAGCGCTTGGCTTTCCCGTCACACGCTGCGTATGCGTAATAAATATTTATGCACTCGAATGTTTGGCGAAGCCTTCAGAAAGTCAGTCGCAAATGTTTGTATATCTGTTCTTCCATAGCAAAATCACAGAGTTTGGTTGTGGGATTCGGTTTTGGATTCGAATTTGGCAGAATGTTTGCACTGCAGCCCGCAGTTTTCCACTCAGTCCACGCAGTCGTGTCAAGTTGCCAGTTGGACTGTCAACCTAATGATGCAATTACCCACTGTTACACAGGCACGCATTCTGGACTTCCCCCCTACCGAGTTTTCCCCTCGGCAAAAGCCACAAAAATTGTAAGCCAAGACGGGCCAAGTGCAGGTCTATGTTACCCTCCAGACAAGTATTTATCCAAGCCCTGAATATATATAAATACCCGTCGGCTGTCTGTTTGCACTGTGTGTGGGCATAAGAAGCAGCACAGATGCCCACGTCCAGAATCTTGGACAGCAATTGCCTCCGTGCTCTGCTCTGGTCTTTATTACACCCTCATGTGCAAGGTCTGTTGAGATTTTTGGTTTACAATCTGGTAATTAGAAGAAGATTTGCAAATGTCTATCAATCTGAAAAATTTCCATTTCCCAATTTATGAGATTTTTCAATTTCCAACTTGGCATGACTGGATAGGTATCTATCACATTATTTAATCAATGAAATATTGCGTTCCGGATTTTTGCGATTTTTGATTTGCACCTCTTGGAAAGATTTTCATCTCAAAAAGTTTTCTACGTCAATCAAGTTATTCGAAATAATGAGTTTTCGGCACTTATAAGATTCAACACTTATTTAACACTAAAAATACAGTTTGGTAAGGAAATTGAATTTGTCATGATATGTATTGCAGCTTAAATAAAAGTTTTTTTTTTTAAATTTTAAAAGGAATAAATGTTTATGTTCTACAACTATAAATTTCAACTTTACAATTTAGATCTTTTTATATTCCTAGTAAAACTTTGATTTATTTTACAACTGCCGCCATTTCAAACACTTTTTTCTCACAGATAATTTTTAAATTTCGAAATATTATAGTATTTAGCAGAGCACACTGGCAAAACTTTGAATATCATTTGATAATTGATGCACCAAAAGTATTTCAATTAAGTAAGTTGCTTGCTCTACAAACGCACACATGCCCAGAGTGCAAATAAGCTGGGAAATTCAATTAAGAATGGCAAATAAAAAGTTGGCTGCATTAATTTCATTAGCAGAATGAGACAGCAGCGACGAGGACGACTGCGAGTGACGGCGACGAGATCGAGATATATATGTATATGTAAATGTATATGTATATGTATATATAGGACGACAGTTTCCGACGATGTCGACGTGAGGCGGAATAAATTGAATGAATGGCCAAACAGGCAAACTGGCTAAAAAACTGACTGACAAACCGACTGAAAGGCGGTTTTCAGTGTGCGTGCTATCCTTGTGACGTCCTCCGAGCGACTGAAAGTGCCAATGGTGGCACAAGAGGCACAGCATCACCACATCACCAGGCAACCAGCCAACCAGCCACAACGCCATCCTCGTTGTCCGCTGGATTCGCAGTCGCTGATGACAGGCAAACGTCAAACCAAGGCGGAAATAGTGCCTGTAAGTAGGCAGCACAACACGCCACTCAAGCGGTCCAGTGGTTGTCGGCCGTCTATTTATACAGGAGCCTATATGTGTGTGCCAGCTGTCTGTCGCTTTGTTGGCTAAACACTGAGAGAAATGTCACCCCAATTGATAAAGTTAAAGCTGAAGGCTTCGGCTTCTAAAAAGAAATTGCTTGCCTTAGAAACTAACTAACTATACTATTGTCCCCAAAAACGAAAGTATATTTGGCTGGTCAACGAAATATTGATTTTATAAAAAAAACATATTTTGTAATTTATAAAAGGTAAATTTGATATATTTTTACTTCTTGTTGTCATAGAAACAAACAAGTACAATGCAGATCGAAATAACACTAAATGCTTTATATATAAAAGATGTTATTGATAAAACTAAATATACAATACTGTTCTTTAAAACAAAATTGAAAATAGTTTTATTAAGGTAAATTTTTTATAAATTATTAAAGGAAAATTTTATATATTTCAAATTTCTTGTTGACATAGCAATCTGTTTTACCTTGTATCGCGCAAAAAGCGGGATAACTAGAGTGTGATATCAATTAGAGCTCTTTATTTTTCTCAGTGAAGCATTATAAATAGCGGCAACACTTTGCTTTGTCTTGATTAACATGAGCATTCCCTCAGCTTTTTCATATAAGCATTCATATACACATTATTATTAAGCGCAACAGGAGGACGTTGACGAGGGGTGCTTGTTGAGAGGAAAAGGGAAAGGAAGGGGAAAAGGGACAGCATTTCCGTTCAGCTAGAGTTCTGCCACGAACGCCGCTGGCATGTCAATAATGTTGAAATGTAACTCACACCCCAGTGCCACGCCCCCCCTCCCGCCTGGAGCATTCACCACCGCCTCCGGGGCGTGTCATGCGCCCTGTGTGCCCGATGAAGCGTATGCGGCTGCCGAGCTGTTCATCAGCATGCTTCACTGGCCCAGCAAGTCCGGCAAAACACAGCCCTCCTGTCCATTTGCCCTCCTGTTGCTCCCGTTTTTACCCTCGGCTTGAGTTTGTGGTTAACAGGAGCGTTAATAACATGTACCATGGTCAGTGCATACCTTTGACCACCGCGCGAAAGGCACACAGCACACAACACACACACACACACACGCCTTATTGAGCCACAAAGGCCTACGCGGCGTATGCGCGATATTAATGTCACAGCAACTTTAAGGCCCAAAGTTAAACAAAAAACTGCAAGGTTTCCGCCCACAAATAGACATCAAAGCATGAAAATACAGACCAACAGATCGATGGAAAGCCGGGCAGGGGAAAAGCGGAAAAGCGTAGGAGGCTGTGGGCGTGGCCCGTAGCTATTTGCGTGCCCGTGCCTCTTTCGCTCGAGTTGAGGTTGAAGCTTAAAGCGATTTCGCTGGCTTCACTGGGCATCCAAAGCGTCTAAACTTGGCCAAGGCAGCCAGACATCAATAGTTAGACAAAGGTGCATAACTTTGGATTATAAAGTAGAACATTTCACAGGCAGTATAAAAAAATATTGATCGAAAATTGCGTACAATTCCTATGTTCACAATACAAAATTATATTTTCTATATACAAAAAATATCCTAAAATAAAAGCTAAGCAAAAAGAAGAAAATTTAAATTGATTGACTTAAACAAATGCCGTATTTGAAGCAAGTAACTCAAGTTGCGAAACATTTCATCGAAAATGAATATGTTTTAAAATTTAAAAATCTGAATAACTTTTTTGCCTTTCACCCTTTAACCTCTTTCCTTCATTTTGCTGCATTTTCTATACACTTTCATGAGCGGGATTTTTCTGCACTGATATTTGTGCTCTTAAATCGGACTCAAGGCTCTTAATCGACATTCTGTATGCCCCAAGCTAGTTACAGCTATGAAAGTCTGACTGTGAGTGAAAGGATTGGCAGCTGCTAGTTGGCACAGCTCTTCGGTGTGCTGCTGTGTGCACAATTAATAGATTTTTAATGACACGAGCAGTTTGCCCCATTTCGCGTTCCTCCAGCCTCCTCCTCCTCCCACTTGAGAACGCCTCCTCGTCATGGCCCTCGTCCTCATCCTCGTCCTCATCCTCGTCCTCATCCTCATCCCTCGAGGACTGCGTGTTTGATTAACCGGAAGATAAACACGCAAAAGGAAGCTGTGAACAAAGGCCCGCAGACAGAGATGGCCAACTAAAAGGGGCAGGAGTGGGGGCAGGAGCTGGAGCAAATTGAACTCGGCTAAAGCTTCATCACCATCATTATTTAATTTGGTAGTTTGTATGCTCGTTGTGGGAGCCAAAGATTTATGGCCATATGCGTGGCCCGGGCTAATTATCTAAACACGTGCCGAGAGAAACCAAAACCCCAAAGGAGGGCAAATCAACCGCTCCACGAGGAAACGAGGAAACTTTTCAATTTGTGCCAGCCAAATAAATCTTGATTTCCCCCGACCTGCTCATAACCAAAAAAACAAAAAAAAAAAAACAAGAATTGGCCAGAATTGTCGGGGGAATTACAGCAGCAGATTGTCTATATGTCGAACCAAACTGACATTGCTGACGTCAGTGATTTGCAGCCACTACGCAGCAGTTCACAGCAAATTGCATGACGGAAATAAAACACAAACTGGGCAGAAAGCACAGAAAAAGTGCAGGGGAAGTGAAAATATCCCTGGCAAGAATTCTACAGCACGCACCTCGTACCAGCGGCAAATGCAGCAAATGCAAAACGAAGGAGCTGCAGAAAAAACAGTCTGGCATTTAAGCCAAGAAAAAGTTGACAGGACACGCAATCGGAAAATCTTTGAATGAAAAACCATCGCATTCCGATGGCTTAAAGAAGCAGTTCAAATAAAACGAAACTCCACTTACCATCGGCATCCTGTGAGTTGACGCTCAGTTGGTCATCGGTACTTATGTCTGTGTGGCCTCCGCTCGGACGTTCGGACTGCAGTTTGGTGAAGTAATCCACGGCATAGTCGATCACATCCGGGGGCTGTTCCACCAGGAAGGAGATCGAGAACTGCAACAGCACCTCCTTCAGCTCATCGGGCACCTGGATCTTTCGACTCGAATCACTTGACATGTTTGTGCTGTAGGAAAAAAGAAGATTAAATAAACTATGAATTTGAGTTCTAGAAAAGCTATGAAGACTTTTAAAAGCCATTAATGTGTATACATTATTTAACAACGAACGTTAAAATAAAATCATTCAAAAATTCCAGCAGTTAAATAGAGCAAAGAGTAATCAAAAATGTTTTTGTTTCTATTTTCCCAAAATGTATTACTAGACAACTTAGTCTACAGATGTCTAACACGACTTTTTATGTATACACTGTGTATCTATAATATTGTTCATACATATTAGCTTTGACAAATGAAATCACTCAAATATCCAGCAATCAAACAGTGCAAAGAGTAACAAGTGTAATAATCAACAAAAACCATAAATGTTTTTACTATTTTCCCCGAAAGTTATCACTAGTTTTACTTAATGCACTGACTTCGAAATTGCTTAAAAATTATGCTCACCACGCCACAATCCCCGCATTTAATTCACTGAAGTTTGTGAACTGCAAAGGGACACCAGAAATTGTCCAGAGTTCAGAACTGAGGGTCAGGGGCATCAGGGTTTCAGGGGGAGATGCGACACTGGATGGAATTCCGACTTGCGGCCAACGGTCACCTGCTGGCTGTCGGTCATTTGGTTGGCAATTACCCCCCGCTGCCCCTGTTCCTCCATCGCTGTTTTTATCATCACCCACCTATCCACATCCATCCATTCATCCATCCATCAGTCAACCAAACCCAAGCCCAAACACAAGTCGGCTCATGATTCAACATTGCACAATTTGAGATTTTGGTCTGGTTCGGTCGTTCGGCGAAAACGACAGACGTGAGATTCATGTTAAGTTTCTGCGCTACCCAAAAACGAGCTGCGACAAATATAATTTACGAGTAATTCACTTTTCACTTGGGTTTCTTTATTTTTATAGAAATTGATTTCGATGGCATTGTCTTTTCGATTCACAGTAAAAAAGGCGACATGAGGTCACAATTGCTGATGCATTTAAAAACGTGCTTATAAAACACTTTCGGTCAAAAAAGATAACGAATTGTTATTGTTTGGTTGGGTGATTAATGTGGTAAACAAAGCGTTTTAAAATTGAAGCATCTGTGCATCTATTTAAATAATTTTAAAATCCAAACACTCTTTTACAAAATAAATAAATAAATAAATTCCTGCATGCGCATAGTTTTCTAACTCATTTTTTACCCATAAAATTAAAATGAACTAAATACTTTAAAAGCTAAACTAAAGATAAAGATTCCTGCCTCTGCATAACTACATTTTGAACCTTTTACTTTAAACCCCTCTGGTATTATCTTCCAAGCTCTTCTTACATTTTCCGCCTAGAAAATCAACAAAGAGCTTCATTTTTGAGCATCAGCATAAATATTTATAAGTTTCCATCAAATGTACGTAATTATGCAAATTGCGTATTGAGACTTGGTTTGTGGCGGTGAAATAATTTTGTGGAGCAGTTTCACAACTTCTTCTGCCCGCAACAATTCATTTGCCCCAATTGGAAAATTAATTCTTGGCAGGGCACTTTGACTGCAGGATATTGTTCCTGTTCGCTGTTGTTTTTGCCAAACTTTTTCAATTAAGTTCATTAATATTCAACTTTCCCTGCGGCCTGGCGGAACAAATAAATATTTAAAACTAATAAAGGTTTGCCACGCCCCCCTTTCCCGTCCCCCCCATTTTCCGATGAAAACGTAATCGAAAAGTCTCTCAACTCAGCAACCAATTGGGCGTTTAAGTGGCCATACTGATTGGCCCGGCCAAAAGCCGACTGCTTTTTTGTTGCTTTTCCGTCGGGCTGAGAACATTAGACATTAGGCGGTGCGATTGCAATTAGAGTGGGTCAAGGTGGTTCACTCAACGCACTGCAACCACACGAATGGCAATTGCACAAACATCTGAGTAAACTATAAATAGCCCCGCACGGCTCAAGTAATAAGAGGCTGAATGAAATGCCCACCATCTGTACCCCCCCTCCAACTTTTCACCTATTTTCCACCCATCAGTCAAGGTGCGGGCTGGCCACAGAAAAAAAAAGAAACGAAAAACTAGAAAAAAGAAAAAAGAAACGAAGAGCACACGAAAAAGAAAAGTTAAACCATTTTCATTTCCTCACAATTTCCGCAGCTGCCGGAGAACGAAAGTAAAACTGCACAAGCATTTCGCCGACGGTTATAGACGTTATATATCTACACAGTCGTAAAATAGGTAAATTCAGCTGACTTTAATATTTATGCCCCACGATATGGCCAGCAGGTAGCTAAGTTCTGTTGAGTAAGGCTGATAAAATTTTATAAAAATTGAAAAACTTGATTATTGTTAGGGGACTTTAATTTTATTTTTTTTTTCATTAATCACATTTGACTGGTTGTGTTTTGCTACACTCAGGGAATAATAAAAAAGGGAACTTTGTTATTGATAAGTGTGTATTAGAGGTTTCGCTTTTGAGTTTTAATTATCAAAATAATTAAGCAAAGTTATAAAAGGTCGTGTTAAATCTTATATTTCTTATATCTCACAAGTTATTAACACAAAATCCAATACTATACAAATTATAACCAATATAGGTATTTGAAATAAAAGTCACTAATAGTCACAGTATAATTTTCAGTTTTCCTCTGTTTTTTTTGTTGATAAACGTTATCATATCAGGATAATTGAGAACTACACCATCACCTATTTATAAGCAATTTCAGTGAAAACGAATGGCAATTCTTTTATATCTAATAAAAAGCGTTGATGGAAATATGCCTTGCTATATATGCATATCTGTAGCCTTTGCTGCAGCTGTTTTATGTTGGCATTCCCATTAACATTAACATTTTCATTTTCATTTATATTCGCGTTCCCATTCCCTTTCCCCGAATGGAATTTGCCGAGTTTCGGTCCATGTCTCTATCCGCTGGCCACTATCATCATTATCATCATTATCATCATCAGCGGTAGCAGCGTGCATCGCTTTTATGGGATTAAGGCTAACTAATTTCGCCACCATCCGCCGGCACCCGGCATCCAACCCAGCATCTCCACATGGTAAACTGTTGCACCCACGGAAGCCCCGATTCTCCCACCGGAGGGCCATCAAAATGATTACGGCTTGGCTATGCGTGGCGAGTTAGCCATGTGCATATGACTTTCATTTTAATGTCATTTTTACTGCAGTTGCAGGTGGTGGTGGTGAAATGTGAAAGCACCCACCCACTGTGGGTGAGAAGTATCCTCTGAATGCCTAACCTTTCACCCCCCCCCCCCATGTTTGCGCTTTTACAAAATTGCGCAATTGAGTTTGGCGCTTGCAACGAAATTGAATCCAACTTTCAAATTGCATTTACATTTGGAATCCGATTTTTGCTCTTCAAATGGTGGAATTATTCAATGGGTTTATTACTGACTTATAAGAGGCTCCAAAATATTATAATGTATTATATATTAGTGTTTAATGTAACTCATAAAAGGTGATATTATACAAAAATTTGTATTTGCTATTTTTTTAATATAAAAAATTATCTAAAAGAAAAAGTTATTTAAAAATAAAAGTCTTTTAAAATGAAAAGTTGAAAATTTGTAGGTTTAAACTACTTTAAATTATTTTAACCCTTTATTAAAACGTTATTTCTTAAGTTTAAGTTTAGATATTATTTATTTTTTTTATAAAGATTCTAATATCAACAGCTTTTAAGCTTGATTTTGAATTTATGTTGCTATCATTTAATGACCAAAATTTTCCCATCAAAGGTTGATTTTGTAAATATCAAATATCAAAACAGCTTATAAATAAACCATATAGACGATGAAACCAAACAACCTTGAGTATTTCCTGGACCAGAAGAGACCAGAAGAGACCAGATGACACTAAATCCAGATAATGAGTGACCAACTGGCGTTTACCAACCGGTTTGAAGGATTCTTCATCGGAATTCTGTGTCAGTTGGCCTATCCAATTACGTCAACAATTCAGAAATGGGACACCTGTGCGTGGGTTTCGGGTTTTTTGAGTTCAAGAGCGACGGACACCGAAAGCCTTGCTCCGAATGACTTCATTAAGGAACGGCAAACCATAAATGTGTGTGCTTAATTAGCCAAACTACATGGGCACATCTCGAATTTGATGGTCAGTTCGGGTATTCAACAGTTGGAAGACCTCAGACAAAGAAGCACTCGAGGCGGCCTAATTATTATGCATGTCCCATGACCATATATCGAGGTCTGCCCGTGTCATTGACAGTGTTACACCCAGACCCATACCCAGACCAGCCGACCCAACCCCACTTGACCTCCCCCACACTGTTGAATTCAAATTGGGTTAAGTGTTTCAACGGGGCAGAATGGCAGGAGTAAATTCGGTTTCCCAAGAAAAAACGTTTCCCAGCGAGGACACAGCTCAAGTGCAGTGTCATTGTCGGTGGTTCTGTGCCACATATTTATATGCAATGGACCTGCCAAAAACGAGCCAACAATAGCCTCAATTATGACTTCATAATTTTGTACTGTATGCCATTAGAAAATCTAATGAAATTTGAAATTCAATAGGACGGAAAACTTTAAATTGCTTTACGATTAGGAGAAAATCAATTTGCTAGAATCTTTGCCAGACATTGTCATTGAGATGTGCTCTGAGAAATTGAATTTAAATTGATTTTTCGTAAGAAAGTTTATGCTTGCTTCTAGGAATGACATTTTAGCTACACTCTTGAATATTTCTGAGAATTTGCTTAAACATTTTTCAGTGTTTTCTTTCCTAGAATTTTAATTGGTTCTTTGTGTACAAATATTAATAGAAGGTTAAAAAGTTCAGTTTAACTTTTGCCTTTGGCGAAAGTATTCGTCATTTATGAAGACAATTATATGTCCTGTTTGAGTGCTAATGAAATATTGATTAGCAGATGTTAAAAATACAACTAAGAGATACGCTTTTCGTTTTCTTCTACCTTCAGCTGCTTTTATTAGACTTCCCGCAGTTGAATTTTATTTCAGCTCAGATTTTATCCACTCTTGACTTGTTTA